CAATAATAAATTTGTTTTTGGGACCTCTATTGTGAAAAGTTTTTTCCACTGGAAAAATTGCTCATGGAATCTTCCTTTACTTAGGAAGCCATGGAAGCTGAGGAAGCTGAAAGCTTGGGGCTTCTCTTGAGCTGAAGATCTGAGGCTGCAAAGCAAAAGGATTGCTGAGAACAATTACAAAGAACCTGAGAAAGGAAGCTGAATACAATCTATGAAAGGAAAATGAATACTACAATCAACTACAAAAGATCCCTCACCAGGAATCCAGATTTGTTTTGGTGATAGTTTATTATAGAGGACCTCCTGTTTGTTTGAGGGGAGGGGGGGGGCCGTTTACTAATCAGGCGCCAACATTACGAGACTTTCTCCACAAGTCACGCGTCAAGTCTCGAAAACGAGCGTTTCGTACGAGACTTCCTCCAAAAGTCACACGTCAAGTCTCCAAAACGAGCGTTTCGTTCGAGACTTCCTCCAAAACTCACATGTCAAAGTCTGCAAAACGAGCGTTTCGTACGAGACTTCCTGCACACACGTCACGCAGCCCTGCCAAGCAGTTTCGCGATTCCAGCCCCTCCAAACAACACCCGCTCACACGCCAATCCCAATGGGACAGCGACATTCACCTCTACCACAACTCACAACCTGACGATTCCCTGCGCCTGCCACAAATCTTTCCGCGTCCACATGTCTAACGCGCACAAAGTACTGTGCCTGCCACGAAATGTCACCTCCGTCACACCTCGCAACCTCACGATTCCCTGTGCCTGCCATGAAAACCGCACTTCCATACCTCAAAGCACGCACAAAGTACTGCGCCAACCACGAAAAGTGACGATGTCATCTCATGTGACCTTCACCCAAATTGCACCACACCACACGTTTGGAATGATTTCGACCCGTTCTGAGCACACTCCCATCCACCAAAATCACCATTTCAGCTGAGACTTGTCACGAAAACAGCGCTTCGATGCCACACCCTGAAACGCAAATCCCAATGGCACGGCCACATCCAACACCCCAAAGAACTGCGCAGCAAACTGCGGATCTCACAAAACGCTGCACCTGCGCAGTGAAAATCATCCTCCACACTTCAGCATCTTATACGTTTCCACACGATTCCTCGCTATTTCACACGAATCTGACACGTCACGTTTCCATCCGAAACCTACTCCAAAAGCTTCCCCCAATGGCCTCGAATTTGAGACGCGACGACGACGACAAACGACGAGAGACGACGACAGACGACGACACGACGCAAGCCACGCAAACACAGCTCCAACCCCCAGACCCCCAACTATAAACGGGAACCCTTCGCTACGCGCTCGGGAATTTTGAAAAAGGTCGACTTGACTTCCCGGGTGACAGGAAGAAGAACCAACTTCGTAGGGAAGGTTTCTTCTTCACCAGCCTACGAAACGCCCACGGAAGCCCGATGCACCATGGATCCAATCTCAGGTAGATCATTGAGTCAACAGGTTGATGGCTTCGTGTGTGGGTAGATCCCAGGAAAATGGATGCTGTTGACGGAACCTCATTCGACGAAGCCGTTGAACACCACTTGCTTGCGTGAAAATAATCTCAGGAACCTCGTGATTTGACAAACTGAGACTATAGCTAGTGACCATTGATAAAACCCCCTGTTTTTTCTCTTCCTATGAGAGGCGTTCAATTAAATCCAAGGCACTCGGTAAAGATGAGGTGCACCTCCAACGGTCAACAAGAAAAAACGGAAAAAGACGAAGGCGAGCTTTGCAAAGGAAGACGACGAACGAAGCTGCGACCCGACCTGCGACCCGACGCCGAAACCAAATCCGTCCACACCGGAAGCCATGCACCCCCGACGCATAGCCGCCCCATGCACCCGTCGGAACCCGCGACCGACGGACACGCGCAGGTGGAGGGCGAAGGTCGGGCGCCCTTCGGGGAGTTGTGGTTGGCCTTCTACGGCGGAGCCTCCTTGGGCGGTCTCTTCTGGCGCCTCGGTCGTCGCGACGCCGCGGCAAGACGACGACGCGGTCTGGGAGAACGGAGGTCTGGGACGGAAAACGAAGCGTCAGACGGTAGGAGAGATTGGAGGTCAAGAGCGAAACTGGTTTGGTGGTGTTGCGTTGTGGTGAAGGTACCACAGGTGGACATCGAGTTTGAAGCTGAAAACAGCAACGGCGGACATCGAATCTGTACGTGTTCTTTTTGGATGACCGGAGAAAAGACACTGCCGAGTTTGAATGGATCATCAATAGAGTCTTCTTCGGAAAGATGACCCCTGGGACCCTGAAGAAGCTTTTGGAGGGCCTGAAATCGCTGTTACAAGCCTTGAGCGTGGCCTGCTCAAAAGCTCTGGCAGAAGAATCGAAAGACATTTGGCGCTGCGCTATCTTTCCTGAAGATCGGATGAAGAGATTCTTGTTGGAAGAAGCTGGTTGAAGCTCATGTCTTTGGACTTTTGAGATCCCTGTCATGCAGATTTCTTTGTGCAAGACCTTCCTTCTGCACCAAACCCCTATCCGCTTCGCCACTGCCCACTGGTGACTCAAAATTACTGTAGTTGGTACGCACAACCTGGGAATCCAAATCCTCTTTTTCTGGGTGACGAGACAATCGCAACCCTCTCAGTGTCCCCTACTGGAATTTCTGGCCTTCCAGCCTCCGAAAACCCTGAAATGACACGTGCTTTTCAGCCGGGCAGACCCTGCCAGACCAATTTCGCGTTCGTTCTGCCCGCTCAGGTTGGCATTGCCGGGGCGCTTGGTTGGGCGGGTTCTACCACGGTTTTGAAGCCGGAAAGGCTCCTGTGATGTCCGTCACTTCGTGTCAGTTATTTAAGGTAATTATCCGATGTGTGCGTTTCTTGCTTGGAATCCCAACAAAGGACCTCTGTTCTGGAACCTCCATGGTTGTGCCCTCACGGCTCCGGTGCATGTCATGGTTTTTTCGGGTCGGATGCTGATGTTGGAAACACCAGGCCCACCGAGGAGTCGACCGAAAGAGTCAAAGAGTCGTAGACTCGGTTTCGACGACGTTCCAATCGTTCCTCCACATGACAGGCTCGTTTCACTCCGGTTACGTGTGATGTCTTCGGAGTGCACCAGAAAGGTTGAGCTGGGGGCACCAAACGAAAAGGACTCCCAGCACACGGTGTGGCTTTGGCAAACCCGTTGTCTGACGAAATTTGAATTGAAGGGCGGCACGATTTTCGGGCCAAGAGTTAGACGAAAAGTTGATAGACCTACGTACTGGAAGAGTGGATAGCCTTGGAACTTTCGATTGTTTGGTTCCCCTGTATAAAATCCAACAGGTGGAACCAGATGAACCTCAGGGGTCGGCCCCGGCCCTTGCTTTCACATGTTCACATGTCAGCCAAGGGAACTATAGATGCCATACAGGCCAGGTTTTTTCTCATGTCTCTTGCTTTAGACTACTTAAGACGATGCACCAAGGTTTTGTGCAAATGGACATGCCAGATTCCTGTCATTAGAATGGCGGCCGCAGGGCCACCCCAGCTGTGCTGAATGTGGCTTTGCTTTGAAGCAGCAAACAGGCTGTGCTGGATGGCACCGGGAAGGTGTTGCATTTGCAGCGCCCGATGCCGCCCACACGGGTTTGCAACATTGCGCAACACGAGGGTGGAGCATTTGGCACAACTTCGTGAGTCGCAGAGAGGGCGCTGAAAGAGAAAACGTCTTTGAGCACCAGTGTGTCAGGGAGACGAAGTACTTCTTCTGCCATGCGCACTGCGGAGTGACAACAAGGTGCTTTCGACAAATGAACCGACCTCGCAGAGGCGCGCGACGAGGACTGCAGAGATAGTGCCTGCTCAGTCCAAACTGAAGCTGCAGAGAGCATGGTTCTTGTGGCGAAGCAACGGTCCCCGCGGAAGGCGAAGTGGTGATGATCCATAGCGGTGAAGTGGAATGACCTGAGCCCGACGCCCAGCTCACGCTCAGCTCAGGTCAGAACCAGAGCAATGGAAGCCGTGCTTTTCGCCGCGGGGCTTGGTGTGTGGCCGTGATATCCTACTAGTCCTCCTAAGTCCCCGAAGAGCTTGTCCAGCTGGTCCAAAGACAAGCTGACACAAAGCAGAGAAAGCGCTTGCGGCGCCTAGCAATTCAAGCAGCATAATTTTTTGCGAAGGCACAAAAAATGAGGCAATGGCAGCAGAGGCAACAGCGGCGTGCGATTGAGCCTTCCATTTCTTCGAAGCCGGGGAAGGCCAAGATGAGAGAAACCGAACGTTCGCGGATTTCCACCGAAGCCATCCGAAAGAAAATGATCGAAACAAAGTTCCGGAAGGCCAACTGCTTCGTTCGAGGTGGATTCTTTAGATGGAAACATGTATATGAAGAAACCAAGAGGTCGGGAGACCGGCCAATCCTGCCAAGGCACGGTGAGTCCTCCAACGTGGCTTGAGCCGGTTCGCTGATCGTCCCACCCTCGGTCCTCCGCTCCAGAATGCGCTCCAGCTAGCAAGTCAGGGATGGAGACTCTCCATGGCTTTGACACATCGACTGCGTGTCCTTTCCACGAAGCAAAGCAAGGTGGGGCACAAAATGAAGCCGCAAGTGGGCAAGTGAAGTTCTGCATTCGGGGCACAGGGGCAAGTGAAACCGTCCAATGTAGGTTGGCATGCGCGGTGACCTTGCAAGAGCATCTCTAGCTGGCTTTTGAGGCGTTCCACGCATGTGTTGCTAGGTTCACAAGCTGACGATTTCACGTCACAAAGATGATCACGCATACGCAGCACTGTGGACATGGTCAGCGTCCTTTTCGCTCAGATTTCGTGGCAGGTGCAGTGAAACGCAGCACTGTGGACGTTCGCTTTCAGAAATTTGAGCCAAAACTGCGTATTGGCATCTTGATGTTGTCTTTGGAAATGCGGTTGCTGCGCAACACCCTTGGCAGGGCTGCGCGATGTGAATCGTGATGTGTCAAATTGTGTGGCAAGCGCTGCACTTTGTGAACCTCCAAGTGCAGATTTCACGGCAAGCTCTCATGCGTGTGCTCATATGTGTGCTGGCAAATGTGTGGACTATACGTGTGCTCTCATATGTGTGTGCTCTCAGATGTGGACTCTCATGTGCGTGTGTGCCAGTGTTTGATTGTTTTCTTTTTTGTGGTCTCTTGCCGGGATAAATTACATATGCTACATATGTTTGAGTTGTTCCTTTGTTTTTTGAAATCTGTCTAGTATTTCATCCACATTGTCCATGGACCTCCCAAGCTTGAGCGAGGACGCTCTGTAGAAAGCATCTTTTACGGGACCACCTGCCGGCTTGCAGGTTTGTAACAAGAGGAACTCGATGGCCCGTAGCCATCACCATCTCCCAAAACCACCCAGCTTCGACGTCGCAACTCCCGGCCGTCCAGCGCCGGGGAAGTCCGAGGTCCTATGGCATCCCGCCGAACTTGCTGATGACCGCGTCCCAGGCATCTGGAACTTCGCTGTAGCAGACTTGGACCGGCTTGGGAGAGTATCCGTGTTTGGCCACAGGTTTGGAGTTTTTAAGGAGGTTTAAAGATATCTTTGCTGAATCCTCCCAGCCCCTAAGTGGACTTCTTAGAACCAGAAAGATTTGGGGATAGACTGCGTCCCCTGAACAAGATGGGGTGATTGCCCACAATAGGGAAAATCTGCCTGGCCTGCATGGATACAGCCAACTCTCCCAGTCACAATATCCAGCAAGAATCCCTACTTTTAGTTGGGCCCTTCTTCACCTATATACACGGGAAAAACATGGACTGTGAGTAGGTGGACCACCAAGATAACAAGTTTGGGCCAAAACCCTCAGAAAGACCGGTGGTTTTGGGACCTGGACCAGCTTTGCCGAGCGGCTTTGGCCGGAGAGTTCTCCTCGTGTCGGGCTGAAGCTAATAGCCAGCGAAGGATACGGAAAGTCCCACATCACCTCCACTTCTACCAGCGGCACAATTTCCACCGCCGGCGCCATCAATGGCTCCCAAGCCTGTCGATGAACCGTGGAAATGGGGAAGAGCTGAGATTGGCACAATGGATGACATGTCTCAACTCGGGCTCATCAAGCAAAGGGTCATTGCCGAAAGTAATGCTGCTCGTGCGCGGGAGGAAGAGATGCGCGGCGCGCATACTAAAGGCATGAAGTCTTACACAGCTCATATGCGCGCTGCATGGAACACAGTCGGCAGAGCTGGAGCTCGAACGGAAATGTTGCAATACCGATCTGGATTGGACCATTGTCGGGTTCTCAAAAAAGGGGGACACGACAACAAATCGGTACCCTTACACTGATGCCGAAGGTGGTACACTACAAAGGGGCGAGGAGGAGGATGCAGCATCCTTGCCCTCACTTGCCTTCCGAATGCCTCCCTCCACGACCTCAACACCGTCTACACCTATTTTGGGAAAGACATTCGCCAATGGTGGAAGGAGCAATACCCTGAGCATGATACAGTTTGTGTTGACCTTGTCCCATTGCTATGGCAGTTCAACATGAAAGACCAGTACCACATGACCGACTGCGACAAGAACCCGTCGAGGGTGCTGAGTTGGTTCAACGCAAACTTCTATATCCTGCACCTGAGGTCTGGCTGCGGTGAAGGGGGCCTGGGCGACCTGAAACCTGGGTTGAAAGTGGATGTGCGCGTACATGCTAAGAGCAGGACCGATGTGCGCGCAAAAGAAGGAACGGAATGAGATGACGGGACATGAATGAAACGAAAGAGGGAAAGAAAGTGTATGTGAAGGGGAAAAGGATGAAAGGGGAACCAAATGGAGGGGCTGGAAACCAATGAAACCAAACCTCATTAGAGCGGACCTAGGTAGACCTTGCGTGGTTTAAAAATCTGCACGCTGTGTGTGTGTGTGCATTTAAGGCTGCGGCAGACCCCAATGGGCCTTGAGAAAACTCTTGGCCGCTTCAGCCACCTTGTGCCATGCCAAAATGGCGGGCGACTTGAGTCCGCTGTGGACGTGATTGCTTGCCCGAAGGCTGCCTACTTGTTTTCATGTAATTTGGCAGGTCTTAATTGACGTTTGCGCTAAGGCTCCTTCTGTCCGCTCTGGACACCTCGTTCCCGGGCAGGGGGCAATGGACAAAACCTTGCTTAGCAAGCCCACGCAACGCACTCCTGAAATCGAATGCCACATGCCACACGCCCACCTAAGTGTGAAAGCCTAGGAGTATCAGGAGGAAAGTAACTAGCGCGGTCTGAACACGAAAACCTCCAAATTCCCAACGATCACGAAGTTGGCGACAGGGTTACGATGATCGCTCGCATCTGCAGAATGCATTAGCCCTTTTTGGAAGATTAGAGAGCAGGTACGTCACGGTGATCAGCCGTGATATCCGCATGAACTGTGGCCGCTTCGTTGGACCATCGCTCACAGCACATGGATGGTCCCCCTGCCTAAAAGTAAATCAAACTGTGACTCCAAGGGTTTCATACACACACACACACAAACAAACACACTACCGCACCCAACTTCCTTGCTTTGCTTGTTTTTGGTAGGTTTGGTCAGCCTTGAGCAAAAATAGAGCTGGAAGGCAGCTATACTTTGCAATCTACGCAGATTTGTTCGACATCTTGAGCTGTAGGAAACTTTAGCCGACAGGCTAGGCTGAAGTGAGCGCTGCGAACGAAGTTTGTTATTAGGAGGTGTGGAGGGGAGACAAGGAAAAAGGGATGTAAACCACGTTTGCCTGCTGGTGTCTTTACTTTTCCACGGAGGTGATTCTGTGGTGGCTTGGTGATGCAAACAATGTACACATGGCTAGTCCAAAGGCAGTCTATTGACATGTGAACATTGCTGTATCCATCTATAGAACATGCCTCGTACCCGTCACTTCCTGAGACGAGTGCTATGATTTCCCGAGACCACTCCTTTCAGTTTCAATACCTTGTTTTTAGATTTCAACATGGTAGAAAATATGGAGACGCAGAGGAGAACGAACCTATGACAAAGGCAAAATGCCATGGATAATGAACCAATAACAAAAGCCAAATGCCGGCAGTAGTGGGTACAGCAGCCCGAGTAGAAAACCATATCCACCACCAGGAAGGGTTGCAACAGCTTATTGAACATGGCTGAGATTATATGTAGAATCCATCTGACCCAACCTTCAGCCATCTCCATGCGACCATTGCCGCGCGCGGAACAAGTCTCCTCCTGCTTGTCCTGGCTTTAGTTTCGGCATGTGCAGAACCAACCACCGCAACCAAAACCTTTGGTCGCACCTGGCCAGCAGGGGCAGGCACAGAACCAACTGCAGAGCTATGTTTTGTTTTGTAGTTTATTGAGATAGCGGTAGCGACTGGTGCGACCAAGGATTTGGTTGTTGTGGTTGGTTTTGTGTTTGGCCTTATGCGGGTGCGATAGGGATTTAGCTGCTTTGGTTGGTTCTGTGCCTGCCTCTTTGGGTTTGGTGCGACCAGGGATCTAGTGCTTTAAAGGTCCAAAGGGGGCAACCGCCCGGTTCCTCTGTTAGACCAAGTAACGTACCAAAAACGAACAAGCAAATTGAATTTCTAGACTTGCAGTGTGTGCGAAGAAAGCCCTCACGTTCGAATCAGAATCGAAGGTTCTTTTCCGAAAACGGCTGAAGCGTCAGATGGAACTCCTCCGCCAGGCCCTGAGTTTGATGGCCTTCCTTCTGCTCCCCATGCTGCCGGAGCATCTCTACGAAGCCGACTGGCTCGAGATCCCAGAGAAACTGCACATGACATCCTGAAGAAGGGCGGGAAGACTCTGAGTCCCACGGACTACGTTTACAAAAATGGTTCTGCCCGACGGACAGGATTGGAACCTCCTGCCTAAGAAGTGTTTGACCCTGCAAGAAGCTGAGGAAGCTGGACCCCAGAACCAAGCCGTTTGCCTTTCCAAGGTCCATGGCTCATAGAGGAAGAAAACTTAGATTTTTAGGTGTCATTTCTTTGGCTGGGTTGATTTGGACTACGGTGCGACTTTGAGGAAGGTTTTCGGGGGGGGACCTTTTTGTGGGACATTTTGGGAGCCCTAAACACCGAGACCCAGTCGTTCCGTCCGCGGGGTTGCACAGGCTGAGGGTCGTAGCCGCATGACACGGAGGGTCGTTCCCTCTCGACCCGTTTTGAAGCCGCAAAAGGAAACAGAGAAAAGAAGGACGCTACTAGGAACAAGTGCATCGCTACTAGTAACAAGTGCCTTACTACTAGGAGCAAGAAGCTATTAGAAACAAGAAGCCATTAGGAACAAGAGGTTGAAAAAGAGATTTGTGTTTTCTTCGGGTCTGAGCGCCTTGGAGAAAACATCGGGAACGTCCATGTCGACGCTCCATGTGTGCTCCTCGGTGGAAGGCGTCAGATTTTGGGAGGTTGATTCACAGACACGCACTTCTTGCATCCCTTTTGGAGGAGAATCATGAGACGATGGAAGCTGGTCCCACACACACAACTTGGCACAGACGCCTAGCCTTTTTTGAATCCTTTTCCCTTCCACCTTGCAAGCATCTTGGCAGGGGGTGTTGGATGGGCCACGGGGTGTCGCCCACCCGGTCCTCACCGAGGTCCTACTTGAGCTATGCCGCCATGTCCGGCGCCACTTGACACCATGTGGTCGAGGTACCTCCCCGGAGAGCCGTGGCCGGTGGTCGGATGGAATGGAAACATGAAGACGGGACCGAGAAAGAGGTACCGACCTGCGTTTCCCTCAGTCCCAACCAAAAAACAGTTCTGGATGGAATGGGGTCTCCAGTCCCAAGCCATTTTCCTAGATGTAAAGGATTTCAAGCAAGCCCATCATTGAAATATAGGCCGTTGTTTTGGGCTTCCAGGTTGACATTGTCGGGGAATGAGTTTCTCTCCCCGCTTCGAGCCGTGGTACCGAACGTAGAGCCTCGGCGTCGGCGTCAGGCGTCGTCAAGGGAGTACCTCAAAAAGGATGTGCGCAAGTCTTCAAGAAAGGGACTAAGTGATGCCCCTAAACCCGTTTGGTGCTAGTCTTGCACAACCCACTATAATTTTCCGCGCTTTCCTGCGGCGTATGCAGGGAAACTGGCATTCATTTGTCTATCCATGTGGAACTGTTGGAAACACCATGTTTCAACAGCTTCTCGATACATCCAAATCGGCAGACCGGTTCTCTCACCGCCGCTGGCTCGTTCTTCGTCAACCGCGGACGCATGAAAAGGTCGGTCGCGGAGCCAAGGTCCAAAGCTCCTCGAAGCTTCTCTTCATCCTCTGGCGCCTTGGACCGTGGACGCCGAGCGAGCCGTTCGGACGCCGAGCGAGCCGTTCGGACGCGCAGAGGTCCGTCCCGGCCCGAAGTCGAGGAGAGTCTGACCCCAAAGATTCCCGGGAGGTTCCGAAAGGAAAGGAAGCTTTGAAGGACCAGAAGGACCCGAAGATGGGGAGACTCCATTGCTTCGACCTCATGCGCCGGCGCCTTCGCTTTGCGGCTTCTGCCCGATCCATCGGTCGGGAGCTCGGGCCCACCGACCGAGTCCCAGTTGGCACCGACTGAGCTGGAACGAGCCAGGCGGAATGCCAGGGACATCGCAATGCAGTCCACATGGACCAGGCGGTTTCTTCCTGCGCTTGCACCGTTGAAGTCTGGCAAGAGGTCTCACTGGCAAGCACGCAGCGCTGGCCAGAGGTCTCGCTAGCATGTTGTCCACCAACAGAGGCCCCCGAGCGTCGCGAGCACCTCGTCTGTCCGTGCTGTTGCATCGGTCAGACTGGAAGGTCCGGACTGGATGCAGGTGACCGTGGTGGTCGTTGAAGCCTCTTCCTCGACGTCTGGTCGCCGGTGACGTGCATCCGGAGGTGCCCAAGTACATCGTCCAGCGGCAGGTCTTGCAGAAGTTTGGCAGAGCATTGACATCATCCATCAACATCAGCACACAACCCGCCGGCATTGGGGTCGCGTGATGTCGATGTGCGGATTGAATTCGTGTGTGGCCAGAAGACCTCCACCTGAACGCCCAGCTGATTCTTACTGGACTGATGGGACAGAACACAGTCAAGATAACATCTGTCAGGTACATGCCATCTTTTCCGTCCAGTTTACCAACAATTTCATTGCACTACCATACTATCCTTTGATCATCCAGTCCGAAATTTCAGATGCCAACGTGAACGTCTAAGCAGTGAGTTCCAGAGCAAGGGAGTCCAAAGCCTAGGGCCACTGAATCCACAACAGTTGCTGCAAGATGTCCTTGACCATCAAGTGGTTTAGTCAAGTTTAGTCCCAGGTAGGGTCATGAGGTGAATCCACAACACCTGCTGGTCCGCGGTAGGAAGGAGAGACTACCAACTCACTGCTTAGGGCATACTTTTCCAAGATCTACTTGACAAAGAAACATCGATTTGGGGAAATACCTGTTCTCCCAGAAAGCCCTTGGGTTGACTTCCCGGCGGACTTCGCGCCCGAGATGACCTCCCACCTCCCACTGTCTTCAGCGGGTCTGCCGTGATCCAGTGTCCTTCCGCATGTTTGTTGCGCAGATGGCAAACATTTCTCTTACATAGTGAAATAGCAGGGCGAAGTGTTCCGTATACAGCACATGGCTTTGGAGGTTTGCAAGAAGTTGGCCACTCATCATCCGAACAAATGCTTGTTTCGTTTCACCCTGGCCCCTCTCTGAAGAGAGCGAACGATCTCTCTCTCTCTCTCTAAGGAACTTCAACGAGGAGAACGAACATGGATTCCAGGTGCAGAACGGGCTTGCTTGGACGATTGAGACTTGTGGTGGTTGGGCACTCTTTTAGGTTGAGGTGGAAGTGGTTTTTCCCTGAAAATACACATCACAAAATCGAGTCATGACTATAACATCTCAAAGTGCACAGAGCACCCCATTCACTACAGCAAACAATCCTCCAGTTCTGTGGGCCCCGAACGAAGTACCGGTCACCTTCGTCCGAAGTTTTTGTCGGGTTTTTGTTCACTCAGAGTCCAACAATGACAAGGCGGTAGCGTTCTGGATCAGGTCCTATCCCCCCACACAGGCACCACGGCAGTTGTAAATTGAACGACCAGTTCACCTAGTGATGAGCCATGGATGGGTATGGCTGGAGTGTTTTCCAATACAAGCATGCAGTGACTTGGTTTTTTGATGTGTTTTTTTTCCCAAAACGCAGCTGAAGAACTCATCTACAAGGTTTCACCAAGCGGAACGGACGCTGGCCGAAGCTGACGACTGGAACTCATCTGCGCGCCGCGTGTTCGTCCTCGGTGATTCGTCCTTGAGGGCGGGAGACCCATGAGGGCGGGAGGCTGTTGAATTCGAAGAAAGTGAACGTGGGAGGCACATGAAAGGCACCACAGGCAGGGTGTGAACTCTGCTTTTGCTAACCCAAAACACGACAGGTTCTGCACCGACTGAAGTGGACGAAAATCCGGCCACGCCCTTGAAAAAGCGCGCATGTTTGATGCTTTTTGGGAGGCCAAAACAAACCCCTCCAGGTGGCGATTTGGCGCCTGGCCCTGCTGGAAGCTTTGCGGCGGAGCGTCTCCTGGTTGGCCTTGGTGGCCACCTATGCGACATGGCCGAAGACGCTGGGAACGAGTGGTGTCCACTGGCGATGATGATCAACAGGTAAGAGACCACATTGGCTTCCCTTTTGAACCCAAGCTGGGAAGGTTTCAGTTCATCACCATACCGTGTGGTGTGTGTGCTGTGTGTTGTTCGTGTGGTTTGTGTAGTTTGAAGTTGTTTGTGTCTAACTAGAACCGGTCCTCTATCCCGTCGACCCCCCCCTTGAAGGAAGAAGATTCCCCCGCATCTTTCCGGCCTCACGTTGTACCGGAGAGAGCACGTGTCCCGTCGACCCATCGCGCTCCAACCGACCCGTCCGAGGCGGGGAAGTTATGGATCTACAAGCAGGTGCCACAGCGGTCCAACGCACCCAGCGGTCCAACGCACCGCTGGTGCCACACGCGAAAAGGTCCAATGTCTTCCAATGGGGCTGAAAAGGGCTCTTCCAATGTCTTCCAGCCATGGCACCCATGGGGGGTTGACCGGAGTTTCGGGACCGAAGCAGTTTCGAGTCGTGACCATCAACCTGCTTTCAATGGATCTACTGAATTTCTGCAGAGACATGGTGAGACATCATATGACATCATGTTCAGCCATCGCTATTAGGTCATCTACGGGATTCATACAGCTGTTCTTAACCCTACATGTTCTTCTCACGGTGAGTTATGAACATCGGCGGAAAATCGAGCTTTCCCAGGGCAAGTTCAAGTGGGGGGAGGGGTGACAATATCAATCAGCAGTCTAAGATGTCTTTCGGATGTGTTTTTTTTGCTGCTCCTCACAATATAGTCACTGGGCAAGCAATTTCAGGTGGCCCAAAAAAGAAACGTTGGCCAGTCGGTGCCAGCGGTTCCAAGAAAGCGTCGCTGGAGTTCTACACCGGTGGAAGCCCACGAGGTGAGTTTGTTGATGAATCTAGACCCGTGTAAGAAGGGAGAATGAGTTTTAGACCATTCTTTCATGGGTCATTTGGATGGTCAAGCTACCTGAGGTGAGTGAGTTTCTAATTTCCACCCATCGGGGATGAGGGGGTGTTTCACTCCGAATGGCGATAGGCCACCGACCATGCTCTCACTGCGTGGTGCGGGTGTTCGGGAGACCAGTCCACCCAGGCTGAAAGGACTTGGGGCGAGAGGACGGCGTCTGCCGGATTGAAACTGCCCATACGTTTATGCCCAGGACGTATGCATTGACCTGGGATGATCGAGCGACTCATCGTTGGAGCACGTGAGTTGAAACCGGAGCAAGCCAAGAAACCTGTCCTCATAGCCAAGAAAGCTCGGGTGTTTCGAATGTTTCGAACGGTTTCAATTCCCCCATGTGGGCCGTCCTTTGCCGGACCCAACCCTTGAGGTGTGTGGGTCCAAGAAAAGCAACCATGGAAGGCTGCCCGTTCTTTCCGCTTTTGACCCCACCGGTCATCTCCGCCCACCAACGCCACCCGTTCGGCGCGGGACGCCGCTCCAACTGCGCGGGCTCAACTGGTCGCCGGGCGCAGTTTCACACAACCCAAGGACACATGGCCCAGTCGCCGTTATTCGCACGGACGGAGCGGTTGGTGCACAGCACGGACGGGGGGTCTTTGCAGAAGGACGTGGATCCAGGTTAGCACAAGCCGTTCGAAACGACGGCCTCGATTTTGATGATAACTACCAAGTTACTACTATAGAAAGGAAATGAAAGGAACAACAGGTGTTAATCAAACCCAAAAGCCTCAATCTTCCTTTCTTTATGTCCAATCTTGGTCACAGTCAAAGGTGTCCGGATCCTTCTGGGGGGACAGATCCCCACTTACACTCCAGACCACCCTCCACCATCCACTGCCTTCGCTCAAGCTGTGGTGGTGAACCCCGTGCCATGGCTGTCCTGCCCTCAGCATGGCGAGGTGGGGGCTGCAAGTCGCTCCGTTGGAGATCGGAGGATCTGATGGTTCAAGACCTGGCTTCTGGCACTGGGGAAGATGCGTTGGTCTTTGCCCGGTTCGAAAGCAAATCCAAGACCTTCCAAACCAAATCCTTAGCACGTGTGTGGCCTGGCACTGCGGCACTGCGAACATTCCTGAATCAAAATTGACAGAAGAGTTGGACCAATATCTGCATCTTTCCTGCTCCCAATCACACTCTCTGTCCTTTGGTTTTTTCATGTCCAATCACCCAGTGCACCCTCAGCCACTTGTGTCATAAAACCTTCACCTGGGCCGCCTAGGTGGGGGCTCCCTTGGTCCTTTGGTCTGGGACTCGAGACGTAATTCAACAGCGGTTCATTCAAAAGCTATGGTTCTGATGCGTTCTGCTTCCCAAACCACTGGATAGTTGAAGATTCATGAAAACAACTTAAATTGCAGAATCTTGCAGCTTCTCCACCTCGAACAGCTCATCATGTTCACCATGCACGACAGCTGCAAACAGATGACAATGTGCGACAGAGGAGACGGCTCACCCCAAATCCTAGCGCAGGAGTGCTACGGTGCCAGCTTAGCACGTGGCTTTGAGTTTTTGTTGCTTGCTGTAGGCAGCTCGAGACCTTAAGAACCGGGCATCCCTTGGTCCCTACTTGCCTGGCACTGACTTTAAACTGGGTGCTTGTGTGTGTGCCCGTGCGTATGTGCGTGACAACCTGGTTGATATGCCCATCCAGAATGCAGCCGTCTAGCAAGCGCGATCTTAGGGACGACTGTTGTGCCAAGGATCATGCCAGCTCGAGCTCTGGAGTTCTTCCGCTTGGCACTTCTCCGCGCGCGACAAGCTTGAACTGCATGCTTCGAAGCGTGGCGCAACACGACAGGGATAGCAAACCAGATGCATGTGTGTGAAAATATCAAGATGGAGTGCATATGAGGGAAAGCGGGTCAAGCACACACCAAACACCATGGTCCGTAGATTGTCTGGCGCAGCTGGATCATCTCCGTGTACCTGCTAGTTGATGCCTTTTGTAGCTACACCCCTTTTAGATTGTGGGCGGGCTTGGTATTCGAGGTGCGGCTCTCTACTTTCGATCGACTCGAACCTACACTGTTAAGATGTAGTTCTTGAGTCTTGCAACCCTGGAGTTTTTGAGTTTGAGCATGAATTTGTCGAGACAGTTGGCAACGGGGCGATAGGTGCTTAATGCAAACGTTAAAGCCTATTTGCTCATAGCAATTAAATTTGGAGCAGTCCGTAGGACAGGGGCAGATTGCAGCGGGCAGAAGCAGCCAGCCCTTAGGCATATTACGGTAAATAAGGCCATAGCACCCCAACGTAGATGTCTTCGAGCTCAAGTCCATCAACCAAACACTGGCAGTGCAGGCCGCCCACATTGCTGATGTAGCAACACCAGGTTTTTTGGACGCTGGAACATGTTGCTTGGACCATGTTGCTTGGACCTTGCCTCTTTGGGGCCTGCACACGAGTTCTTCCAGGCTGCGATGGAACAAACACAATAAACGATATTCCAGTTGTTTTCTGGGTGGAAGCAGCATCTGCAGAAGGTGAAGCATCTTCGATACCTCGCAAACCCGCCGTAGTTGCTACACACACGACGCAGAACCCAATGACCGAGAAAACCCACAGAACTCCTGGCAAATACAATATCTCCAACACCTTTCGTTGGCGAACAACCAATCCAGCGTCAGTTTTGTCCTGGCCACTGGATGGACGATCGATAACTCGCAGAACTCCCGTTCTCGTTGCCTCGGAGTTGATCCCGGTCGGAGTGTGTGTGGCCGACTTCCGAGTTTCGGATCCATGGATCAAGACCAGTGTTTTGGGACCTTTTCTCTGTGTGTTTCTTGCAGTGGGACCTGGGGACCTAAAGCCAATATGATATATTTATTCTCGGCATTTGTTTCAAGAATATTATTGTAGTTTATTTACTGTGGCATTGTGCTTGAAAATGTAATTCTGCGAGATTGGTGAAAGCCACAGGTGTGATAGACTTGGACATGCACATCTTGTGGCCAATTGGTCAGACAAATCCCAAGCGCTGGCAATTGAAGATCCTTTTTCCACAGAACCACCCTCAAGGACTCAGGGTTTGGGGTTTTCCATCGCTTCGCAACCACCTTTGCTGGCAGGTCTGTGACGCCCCCATGGCACCTTGGGAGGAAAAGACCGGAGCTCAACAGTGGATAGATGGAAAGAGTTGAAAGAGTTCTTCCCCAATGTCCCGATTCCGAGCCCAGGACCCCCGATGTTCGAGTGCAGAGATGTGTGTTTCCTTAGAATTCTTGCAAACGTTCAGAGGAGATGGGAAATTGGTGCCACCTGCGGTAGGTGAAAAAGGACCTAAGGGATCTTGAATGTTTGCTTTCCCCATCGAATCGTAGAGATGCAGCGCTGCAGCTTGTGACGTTATAGTTATACGGATTGTAACTGAGACGTACGACCTCATCGTGACCGCTTTCAAAAAAGGCGGAACACGAACCGAATCTCTTCGCTATCGGATCGACGACGTCGACCGACGACGCCGAACAGAACCAGATCCAAGGATCCCTGGAGAGGCCGGAGCACAGCCGAAACAGCAAGCGCGCGCCTGCGGGTTCAGCCGGTGGTGGGTTCACCAGGTGCTGTTGGTGTGGAAATCGTGAAGCCACGAATTGAATGGTTTCCAAGTTGAACCAGATGAATATCTTGCACAAGTGCAGGGAGGAGGCAACGACTTGCACGTCCACTTTTGAGCAAAGGTGGTCGCAGAACAGCTAGAACAGAGGAAGTGGTGGTATTTCAGATGCCCTTCGGAAACTAGCTTGAACATACTTGAACCTTTGTAGGAGCAAAGTCCTTTGGCCTCAATACATGTGGGAAAGTCCTTTGTTCATATGAGCTTTGAGCCGTAGCGGGCCGAGACCGGGCTTCACCGCAGGAGAGAGGCCACCCAAGCCGCGGATCGGCGAGGTGGGATGGTTCGGTGTTGTGCGGCGATTTGGGACGAAGGATGCGACAAGACAAGGAGCAGTTGTTTGCGTTTTGAAGGGTTCTGGTAGGATTTGGTGAACCAAGCACAAGTGAATCTGATTGGACCCTATGGTTCAGGTCCTTCCAAGATCTTCCAGAGACTCCAAGGCAGCTCTTCTGCTCCTCATAGCTGGCTTTGACCGGATCCTTTGGGTCACCGGACTTGGCCACTCCCCCACCGGAGGAAGAAGGACCGAAACCGCCCCGGACTGGGCCACGTCGGTGCGTTCTGCCAAAGAAAGAACACCAGACCCGGATCCAATCACCGGACCTCGGAAGGTACGACTGGACTCTCCTGGCACCTACACAACAGTGTCGAACACATCACCTCCTGGGAGAGTCTTTGTTCGTGTTGTTCAATCCCTGATGTCTCCCGTATTGGTTTGGTGTGTTGTTTTCCAGACGTCAAGTTAG